TTGTGGTGAATCCTTTGTATTTATTTTCATTGGGGGGGGGGTGTTGACCCTCTATTTTCATTTTATTACTGTTGTTCTGAGAGAATCACAGTTTGTGAGGAATTACAGTGTTATAAAGAGCGGTGATGTTTTAAAGCAAAGACTTCTTCAGATTTGTCAAATTTGCTGGAACCGTTTGGAAACCAATAATTTAGACAAACTGCAAACAGTAAAGAATGTTGTTATTTTCAGCTTCAACATTAGGTGTTTGTCCTCAGGATGGTCTGTTTCACCTCCATCGAGAGCTCCTTTGAGCGCATGTTTTGCGTTCACATGGACAGCTTCAAAATGCAAACAACACACCTGGAATCAACTTCAGACCTTTTAACTGCTTAGTTGATGACAGGTTTCCTCGTTAACCTGAGTGCATGCAGCCTTGTTTTTTTTGCAGCCTCCGGAGTCAACTGTCCAATTACTTTTGGTCCCTTGAAAAAGAGGCAGCTACATATTAAAGAGCTGTAATTCCTAAACCCTTGCTCCAATTTGGGTGGGTCAAATTACAGCTGAGAGTCTGCACTTTAAGCTGATACTTATTATATAATTGTATCCTGAATGTGTTTTCGTTAACAGCTAAAATAACAAAACTTGTGTCACTGTCCAAATACTTTTGGCCCAAAAGTTTTGGGCCTAACTGTATACAGCAGCGGTTATTAACACTGCATTAAAAAAAAAAAAAAAGACAAAGCGATCAACGGCCGCTTGTTGTTATCCTTTCAAAATAAAAGATACTTCCTGTGTTCAATGATCATTGACGTCAAAATAAAGGCTCATTATAAAGTCGTTAATTTCGTTTTAATGAACAAACAAAATTAGGATTTTTTTTCCTTTGACAAATCAATTCACAACTGTGTAAAGTATGAATTAGTGGAAGCAACACATATAATTATTATTTTACAGTAAACACAGATTGTTTATTACTTTTAGTTATTTAAAAGAACAATGGGTTTTGTCAATTTCGTTACAAATATCATAAACATTTTTTTAAATCAAATTAATGCAGCTCATTAGCATTTGCATCCACAAATATAAGCAGGAAAAGGTCAGAAAGGAAATGGAAGATGTGAAGCATAATGTGATTGGCTGACACTCACCTTGGATCTCTTCGAAGGTGGAACATACGCCACGGGAGAAAGGGGGAGATGTCAGAGGAGGAGAGGGAGGAGCAGCGAGGAGGGTTTTGGAAACAGCCAAAGAGAAAAAAAAAGAGGAAGAAACAGGAAAAACTTATTGGTATATTGGTTAGTAAAACGAGGCATCAGCAGACAGCCATAGCAACACCTACAGGTTATGTGCAAAAACACCAATTATAGGGTTCAAACCAAAAAAATGAACCATTCCAACCAGCATCAGCATTTACATGGCGTCATGCTTAGAGTTGATCATGTTCAGTTGGTTAGATTGCAAAAAAAATCCAACAAGTAAGCTATCGATGTTTTGATTCATCTTAGCTTTTTTTTTGCAAGACATTTTGGTAACCAAATGGAAAACTCCAGATAGAACGCACAAGGTTTTAGGACGAAAGAGAAAAGACCCGATGTACTTCCTACCACCACTAGATGGTAGTATAAACCAGATGTTTGAACCTGTACGTGCTCTCAGCATGCAGACCTTGTCAAGTTTTTCTACAGCAATAGTATTGGAAATTTGGAACAAAGTACTAACTTTTATTTATTATATACTATTTTAAAAATGGTATTAAAGGGATAGTTGAAGTGATTACAAAAGGGTAAAATTTACCAAATGTACCAATGTTAAATAAGGCTTCCAGAAAGAACAGAGACGGGAAAAAGGAGAAAAACCATTTAGCCACTTGTGTATATACCTCTGTTGATGAAATTAGCATTGCATTATGTCTGCAATTTGTCAATTCTTCCTTACAGTCTTAAGGAATAACCACCACGTTTACGTTCCGACAACATGGCGTAAGACTCAATTCATTCATTCATTCATTCATTCTCATTCAGCCTCTTCAGAGTCATGTGAGGGCAGGGGTACACCTTGGACAGTTCTCCAATCACTGACACACATACAATACACTGATAAAACACCATGTCAGTTCATCTTCATACCCAGGACCATTTTAGAATAACTCAAATCACCACAGTATTTCCCTGCCTTGGAGGACCCTCTCTGAACTCACATGTGTATTGGAAGTATCTTAGCACACTGTTACCTTTGCGTGCCTTCTTTTGCAGCTTGATGGTGTCAGATGACTTTTTCTTGATCTCGTGTCTTGACCTTTTGTACTCTAGGAACGAAAAAAGAGAAGCGTTTAGCACCAAAAGAAGAAGTGAAAGCTAATGTCATCTTTTTTCTCATAGTCATGAGGATCACGAAAAATGCATTGGCTCACTAAGAGTATGCTGTTTTTAATCACAGGAACTCTCTCGAACAGAAGTGATTTTTTACAATACTGCAAATAGTTCTGCTAGATTAAAGAAAAATTACACCCACAATTATTTTAGAAACACATTACATGTACTATATTAATACATGGCGAATGTGATAGTTTCCCTTCTCTGTTTCCCTTCCTGTTTAGCATGAACTAAAGTATAATATTCACATACTGCAAATAAAGTAAAAGTAAATAACATCCACAATGTAGTGCACTTTCAGAACCTCTTGAAAACAAAATTTCTAAACTAAAAATAAAATACAATATTTATAAATACAAATCTGAATATACATTTCAATATAACTAAAATACAAATAATACAGCTGTGATTGCTGATAATACTATGAAAAAAGGGACCAATTTATCTGAACAAAAATATATTTGCTCACATTATTGTGAATTAGGAAAACTATTTTGGATAAATTCCCATCACTAACTCGAGCCGAGAACAAGAACAATAGCCTGGCTCAGCCATGTCCAATCATATTCTTACAGTTGATCGATCAGTGAGTACTGGTTTTGATTCTGTGACTTCACCGTTTGGTAAATTTACCCACAGTAAGTGACAGAAACTGAGCACAAGAGGCAGCAGTGCAACAGCGACGCACTTTTTCTTAGCTAAAATTGTACATTTCTTTCCTTTTACTTTTGTACATAAATATTAAACATCAATTCCTTTGTTTGTGGATTTGGTAGCGAATATGGTTTTACTGTTTGTTTGGGCACGTGTGACGTGTGTGCGTGTACCTTTAGCGTGATCCTTATCCAGCTGGTTTGCAGTTTTCTTCCAGTCTTCAATCTTATCCTGGAGTGGAGTGACCAGACTCTCCATCAGAGCACTGTAACATAAACAAAACAGTCAGGATCCATAAAAAGAACAAATGGTTCTTAACAGTGGCAGACACTGTTGCCATAAACATCTGGATAAACAGTGCCTCTAGAGGTTGTTTTGATGAATTCACTCTAACAGTGATTTAACTCATGGGTCCCCAAGGGGATTTTTCATTCCACTCTAACAGTGATTTAACTCATGGGTTCCCAAGGGGATTTTTCATCCATTCATTTAAAGATAATCTGGCAATGGTAACAGATAACAGAATAAAGTCTGTTTAAAAAATGTATTGGTCCTTCAACGATGGCACGGTATTACCGGTCCGCAGCAACCAACCAAATTCCCAAAGGTTAGGGGTTGCTGATTGAACTGGAGGCTAACGACAGCAATTTCAGTTTTCATCACTTCAGTTTTACCTTTTTGTCAATACTAAGAGAGAATAGGAGGATAACTAAAACCACAGGAGAAACAAGGATGAGTAAAAGGAAGAAGAAGGCTAGAGGGGAAGAAGAAATAGAACTAAAGGGAAGATATTTTTAGAACATGAAAAAGATTTTTTACTTGGTAAACTGTCGCAGTTTTGCCTCGATGCTGCGGTGTCTCATGCACATCCTGGTCAGTGCTGAACCAATGTCTCGTGTCGCACCTGGCAACAACAAAGCAGACAGTGATCAGGTCACAGGAATCACAAAATGTTAAAGCTGAGGCTACTTCCAGTGTCCAGTCTAAAACATGCAAACGCGTTCAAACATGTTCATCAACTTTGCACTTCACAGTAACTGATGTAGATTTTAGGACAGTCAAAACAAATGCCCTCTCATTCGATTTTGTAATGCATATCCATAAGTTCCGCTGTCCATCCACTTACTTGTTTATTGCTCTAATACACAATCGTTACACAAATCACTGTTTGCACACACTGTGGATAATTCATTTCACCTGGAGTTTGAAATACCATCTCCACATCTAGTGTGTATTTAAGGAGGATTAAACTTCAGGTCAGACGCCCCGCTGACACTGATACCATTAGCTAATGGATACTAATGGATAGATAGATAGATAGATGGATGGATGGATGGATGGCTGGATGGATGGATGGATTGATGGATGGATGGATGGATAGATGGATGGATGGATGGATGGCTGGATGGATGGATGGATTGATGGATGGATGGATGGCTGGATGGATGGATGGATAGATGGATAGATAGATGGATGGATAGATGGATAAATGGATAGGTGGATAGATAGAGAGATAGATGGATAGATGGATGGATGGATGGATTGATGGATGGATGGATGGCTGGATGGATGGATGGATAGATAGATGGATGGATGGATGGCTGGATGGATGGATGGATAGATAGATCGATTGATAGATAGATAGATAGCTAGATAGATAGATAGATATTTGGATGATAAATAGATAGATAGATAGAGAGATAGATGGATAGATGGATGGATGGATGGCTGGATGGATGGATGGATTGATGGATGGATGGATGGCTGGATGGATGGATGGATGTATGGATGGATGGATGGATGTATGGATGGATGGATGGATTGATGGATGGATGGATGGCTGGATGGATGGATGGATGATGGATGGATGGATGGATGGCTGGATGGATGGATGGATGTATGGATGGATGGATGGATGGATGTATGGATGGATGGATGGATGTATGGATGGATGGATGGATGTATGGATGGATGGATGGATGGCTGGATGGATGGATGGATGTATGGATGGATGGATGGATAGATAGATCGATTGATAGATAGATAGATGGGTAGATGGATAGATAGATGATAGATGATAGATGGATAGATGGATGGATGGATGGCTGGATGGATGGATGGATAGATAGATAGATTGATAGATTGATAGATAGATAGAACTTTATTACAAAGATATAGATAATTCACTCAAGCCTCGAAAGCAGCCACTGTCAACATGCACACTTTTCCATGTAAATAATTTAATCTTCATTTGGATTAGTTACAAATAGTTTTTGTTTTCTGTCATACAAGGGAGTGTTGATTTATCTTGATAAATCATGATTAATCGCAAACAACTACCCCAGCTAACCAGTAATTTATCAAAATAAAAATTGTTACTCACTAATATCCCCTCCCCACGATTTTTTGCTTGACCTTTGTTACAGTTTTTCATTGTTCAACAGTGGTTTTTTTTTTTTTTTTTTTGTAACCGCTCTGTTCAAAATCACTTCTTCAGATTCAGGTCAGTAAAACAAACTGACGACAGCTGCTGGTCTACTGCTACACTCTCTGTTATTGAAACGTTGGACGATATTTTAACTTAATATGAAGTGTCAAACAGTTACACATACACAGACACACACACACACACACACACGTCTGATTAGGCTTTGACAGAAAGCACACAGAGCTGTCATCAGTGTTTACCCCTTTAGCAATTAGCCTGCTCTGTAAATGTAAATGACACTCAACGTAGAGATTCTTTAAACAAACCCATCACTGTCTGACCATTTTCCTCTCCGAGAGTTGTTTTGTTTTATTTTTTACAATGTTTAAACAGGTCACCGTTCAGTCTCTGGTAGACAAATACTCTGTCCACTGTAACGTCGTTCTCACCAATGTGTGTGTGTGTGTGAGAGAGAAAGAAAACAAGACAGAGAGAGAGACTGCTCCTATTTAGGCAAAAGCTAACCCCTGAGGTGAAATCACACTGTATGATGTCATTTAAGTCTACTAACTTCCAAAAAAGGTTACTTTAGTGGCAAACTTCAGGCTGTTTTCAATGCTGGTCAGAACAGAAGTTTAAGACCGGGAATAACCAAGCTACAGAAAATACATCAGCATACAGTGGAACCCCTAGATATGTTTAATCTATTTAACGACAGCACTCGTATGTCAATCACATTTTCCCCATTAGAAAGAACTAAAAACCAATGAATTTGTTCCGGCCGCCCCGAAAAATAGTATTAAACATCAAAAACATGGATATAAACAAATATAATGATAATATAAAATAATAATAATTAGGAAGACATTTTATATTATCGTTATAAAAATGGGAAAATAACCAAGCGAGGGACAGTGAGCGAGACAACATGACAGAGTTTTGGGTCGACTACGCGTAGGAGAAGGACTGGGAGTGAGGACTTGATTTAGATGATAAAGATTTTTTTTTTATTAAACACTCAGAGCTAGTGGCTTCCCCATGCCGTACGACTGAATGGGTGCCATTCCTCGGTTGAGCACTCGTAACTAGATATTTCCTCATATCACGAGGAGGATCTTGCAATAGCTGTTTACTGGTAACTTGGAAAACTTGTATTTCTGGGAGGTGGTCTCTAGGAGTTCCCCTCTAGTAGAGGGTTAGGGGAAAAGTTGACCAAAATATTGAATTTGACTTTGGCGTTGTTCCTGTTTTCCCACTTTTCTCACGTTTCCGTTCATGACCATGTACAGGATATTTTTGTATTTATTGTGTTTGGTATTATGTCAATATTACAGCGTGGGCGGTGTATGAGGGGGGCAGTGAGAGGGGGTCAAAGCTAGGACCTCAACTAATCCTTGCACCAAAAGCAGAACAAGATCAGATCATACAGATCAAGTTGTAATTCTTTCTTGGTCTGGATGACGCTCCTGCAGAGTTTAAGAATTGCCTTCAAAATGTTTGAAGAAAAAAAAAATTAAGTAGGACACAAAAACTGCAAATTGTATGACGTGTTTGTAAATGCTCTTTTTTTATTTTTTTAAAGAGAACTACTGCAACTATTTGCATTAGCTGAAGTAGAAAAAAAAAGTTCCCATGTTTCCGTGTGAAACATAGAACCCCAGGTGTATTCCATGGCAAATCTGCTGCAATTGGACGTGCGCCCTTACTTTCAGCACACATACACACAGCTAGACACACAAAAACACACTCAACACTGTGTGTTGTTCACATGCAAGAGAGAAGTGTTTCATTCATAATTAACAAATTCCCTCTTCACGCCTCCGGTTCTACCCGGCAACCATTCATTAAAGAAGACCCATGCACACGCACGCACGCACACGCACACTCACTCACAAACACATTTTGCGCAACTCTTGCCATTAAATAGCTTTAGTTCACACAGCCTCAAACTGAACCCGAACGCTTAACTTTAACTCCACCTTTAACAGTCGCTGCCTCACTTGACCTTAACATTCACCACAGCTTAAATCTTAATCCCGCGTCCAATTTAAGGTTGTGATTATGACCCAACTTCACTCTCCTTTACTTAGAACGAAGGTCACAAATCAGCTGAAGGAAAGAGATCTAGAAAATACATCTTAACATACGTAACTAAACCATTGTTAAATGTGAGGGCAACTGGACTTTGTTAATCACGTAAAAGTTAACAACACATTTCCATTATTCTCAAATGACGAAGAAACATTAATTAGTAACATGAGGCCGTAAGCACGACAAAGGTACTGTATGAAGACCATAACCGTCGGCAGAGAAGCAACTAAAGAAGAGAAGGAGAGAGGGAGAGGGGAGGAAGCAAAAGAAAGAGAGTGTCTGTAGGTTTTCAGGAGGAAACTGAAAGAGAAGGAGCAGAGAGAAAAAGGGGGAAGCATGAGAAGTGTGAGGAGACTAGAGGGAGTCACTTCACACATTTTAATAAGTTTCGCTGTTGTAGAGAAGAAGCGTGGGACTACTGCCAGGAGAGTGTGTGTGTGTGTGTGTGTCCTCTATTGGTATCAGCCAACAGGAAAGAGACCATTGCAAGGCTATAGTCAAACACTCTCTCTCTCACACACACACACACAGAGAGAACACACATCTGGATGACAACCATCGACTGTTAAAATGATGCCACCGAAGTCCTGTGATTTTTAGGAGCAGTCGTTCTACTGCTGCCTCCTGTGGTCAGTTTGTGTAAATGGGGTTCAATTTGAACAATGGAAGAAAACAGCTACTAAATGTTCAATTCGAATATTTTCATCCGATTTTGATACGTATAGCATGCAGTCATCCATTATCTACCGCTTATTCCCTTTCGGGGTCGTGAGAGGCGCTGCAGCCAATCCCAGCAATCACTGGGTGAGAGCAGGCTACCTCCTGTACTGTTCACCACACATGGGGCCACATACAGAGACAAAGAACCATTCACATTCACATTCATAGATATGGTCCATTTATAGTGTCCGATCAACCTACTCCCATATTAACCCTTTGATGCATGACCCATGATATACTGAGTTAAAAAAATGTTACCAAGTGTTTTTAGACATAAAAATAAGAACTGATTTGGTTCTGGTTTTATACACCAAATTTTCTTTTTGAATGTTGACACAATTATTCTGCAGTTGCCAAGGCTGACCACTGTATGGCAGTGTTGGGTGATTCTCAGGCGTCCACTGTAGAGGCTTATATGCAACACTGCCATTAAAACCTATTCTTATCATAGAAAATGACATTTTCATAGCTGTCCACTGTAGTGACCGTCATGCATGAAAGGGTTAAGCATGCTTCTGGACTGTGGGAGGAAGCCAGAGTAGCTGGAGGGAACATGCAAACTCCATACAGAAAGATCTTCTACCAACATTTGCCACCGTGTGGCCCATTGTAAATAATTATTATTGTTATTTCTCTAGTTATAACTGTCAATGCTTCAACACGTG